CATTCCAGGCCAGGTTGGCCGGGGCTGTGAGCAACCTGATGTGGTTCAAGGTGTCCCTGCTCCTGCAGGGGGGTTGGGCTGGGTGACCTCTAGGGGTCCCTTCCCACCCAAACCATTCTATGATTCTGTGATTCTATGATTCTGTGATTCTGTGATTCTGTGATTCTATGATTCTAATCCTGCAGCCTGGAGAGGTGGGGAGCTGAGATCCTCTGCCCCCAAAATGAGCTTTCTGCAGTCAGAGTGGCCATAGTAGTGGGGAGTTCGCTCAAAGCAGGGCAAAATGCTTGAGGATGTTGAGGGAATACCTTAAGTTCGATATGATCCCATGAATCCATATGGGCAGGCCTGGATAGGGTACGAGGCAGGGAATGCCCTGCCCTTGTGCAGTCCGAGGAGCAACGTGTCTCTTGGCACTCACCCTACCTTCTGCCCTACAGAAAACAGCCTGCACGATTCCTGCCCATGACGGGCCTCTGGCTGCGCTCGCCTTCAACTCCACCGGCTCGAAGCTGGCAAGTGCTTCCGAAAAAGTGAGTGAGCGTGGGTGCGAGCACCCTCCCTGCTGCCTGTGCTCTCTGCCCGCGGCTGGCAGGGGGGGTCCCAGCCAGCCTGGCTGCCCGCAGCGTGGAGAGCAGGACCTCTGAGCTGCCTGTTCTTAAACACAGCCAGCAGAGGAGGGGCACTAAAAGGACTCGTGACTTGTAAGGGGACGGTGTATCGGGTTCAGGTTGACCCCGGCTGGCAGACAGGAGGGGCCTTTGCACGTCCTGAGTTTCCTGGATGTGTCAGAGAAAGGGCGCGCGCTCTTTGCCCGGCTTCTGCCTGATCTTTCCGTTTGCATTTTTTGCAGGGCACAGTCATTCGTGTATTTTCCATTCCTGGTGGGCAAAAGCTCTATGAATTCCGGCGAGGGATGAAAAGGTCAGTTCATTCTTCCGTCGGTGACAAGTACACAGAGGGCTCCCGGACCAGAAATGTAAACACAGGGACAGAGCAACATCAGATCCTGGTGGCTTTGGCATCTTTTGCAGAAAGAAAACAAGAGCAAGCGTATCAGATAGAAATGTCATTGTGCCAGACAGCCAGGCTGCACCCAGCTGCCTCGGGCAAGTTTAGTGATTCAATTCAGTGTGTCCCAGAACAGGGCGATTGCAGAGAACAGAGGTAGATTCTGTCCATTTGCTCTGTCCTTTCTTGTTTCTTACTTGAAATAATGAAGTCCCAAAGTTATCAGCCCGACTCTTGCCCTCTCAAAGGAGGTGTTTTGAAGCTACTAAGGCATTTGCGCAGAGCCCAGGTCTCCATGGTGGGGATGGGCTGTAGCTGCCCTTTTGCAGGCTCCCTCGGATGTTCTCGGTAGATCTTTTCCTGACTTTTCCCTCATCCCCACCCCTGACCTGACTGTGATTTTACAACCACTTCTGCAAGGACAAAAACTGCCATGACCAAGACACCCCGGCCCTGCTGAGTCTGCACAGGAGGAGATGCCACGAGTAGCCGGCTACCCTGTGCTTTGGATGTCCTCCCTGGTACCTTTGCAGTACCAGAAGCCTTAGCTGCCGTAGCGAGGCCAGCACAGATATTCACTCCATGGACAGCTCTGTGAGCAAGGATATTTCCACCTCTCTGGCTGTTCGTCACTACCTTGAGGCTACCCCCAGCTCTGCTGAGCAAAGGGATTAGGGAAATGCTAGTCAGTCAGCCCGCAGGCTCGGCAGCAGCCAGGCAGGGTGCTCCTGGCTGGGGATGGGTCTCCTTCCTCCCCATCCTCTTCTCTATGAGCAAAACCGAGCAGTTCCCCTTGAACGGGATGCCACAAAGTGACCGGTCCTGTCTTTGCTTGACCCTAGGTATGTGAACATCAGCTCTCTGGTGTTCAGCATGGATTCCCAGTTCCTCTGCGCATCCAGCAACACAGAGACGGTGCACATCTTTAAACTGGAGCATCTCACTGACAGGTGACGGGATTAGCCTGGGTTAACCTGCCTGCCCCGGGGGTGTCTCTGCTTCAAAGGTCTGCCTTTACACAGCTGGCCTCCATTTCCTCACCACGTACTCTCCACGAGCCATACCAGCTGCAGACTGTCCCTTTGGCTTTGTGTCCTGACGGATTTGCTCCTTGGAACAGCTACACACTGCAGCCCTGCTGTCAGCCTCTCCAGGCCTGCTCTGGGTTTATTAGCTGCCACTGTCCCCTGCCTCCTTCCCGTGTATCCAGCTGGGCTGGTGCACACCGTGTGCTCCAAAAAAAGCCTTTGCGTGTCTGAGATGAGGATCCTTTTGCCTGTTGCTGATCTGTTTTGTCACGCTGATTGCAGTAGCCCCACTGATGCTGCTTTGTGACCCCCTCAGCCGTCCAGAAGAGCCTCCAACCTGGAGCGGTTACATGGGAAAGATGTTCCAGGCTGCTACCAACTACCTCCCTGCTCAGGTATCGGGCATGATGAACCAGGATCGAGCCTTTGCCACCGTCCGCCTGAACATCTCCGGACAAAGGAACATCTGCGCCCTCTCCACGTACGTATCGACATCTGCGTCACGCCACGCCAGCCTGCGAGCAGGCACAACTATCTCTGCCAAACACCACCGCTGCAGCCCCTTATCTTGCACCCGTGCCTGCAGAGCACGCAGCGTGGGTGCATGCTGTGTCTGTGCGCCGGCGCAGATGTGTTTGGACTCAACGATGCTTTTCTCATTAGGATTCAGAAGCTGCCTCGACTGTTGGTGACTACGTCAGATGGACATCTCTATATCTATAACCTGGACCCGCAAGATGGAGGGGAGTGTGTCTTAATTAAGAAACACAGGTAACTACACCTCCAGACACATCTGATACACAGGCTGATCTTCTAAAAAACTAAGGGAGATTTCACCTGCAAGCACAAAATTGAGCTGTAGGAGCAAGAACGTTAGAACTGACTTTGTGATTTTAGCTGCCTGATACGACAGACGTGGGTGGGAACCACGTCAGCCAGCAGGGATGTGGGGCTTCTTGCAGAAGAAACCAGAGACGTCTCAGATCCCTAAGGCGGTTGCGGGACATCTCAGCTTAGACAGCAGAGGCGGGCAGGCTGTGCCTTAGGAGATGCCTCCAGCAGCAAGCGCTGATCAGCACGGTGGCAGGAGAGCAGAGCACCTTCTGCAGGCGTGGAGTGGGTGCTGGAGAGCTGACGTCGGGGGGGGGGATGGTTGTGGAGCGACGCTGGGAGCTTCCGTAAACAAAAACCCACACAGATGCACGCCTGCAGGCATGCAGTGCCAAAGCAGAGCCTTCTGAGATGCTCTTCGGTTTGTATGCAAATGTGATTAAGCACGTAACCCCCCCACACACACACACACACACATCTGGGCTGCTTGGCTCCAGATGTGAAGCCTTCGGGGTGGGGTGCGATGTAACATGCGCTCTGAGCCGGGAGGTGGCTGGCAGCCAGGAAAATGCCAGCAGTTTTTTGAAAAGCCACAAAACAACGGCACTTCAAAGCTGCGCTGTCCAGCGTGCTCCGGCCCCGCCGCCTTCAGACATCGCCGACGCCCGCCTGCCCCCCTCCCAAAGCGGCCGTCCGGAGCTGGCGGGCCAGCTTTGTATGTGGGTTCCCCCAAAAGGGCCCTTGGGTCACGACTCAACGTTACGTCACATTATATCTCTGCTCAAACTCCATCCCAAACTAGCCAGCGCTGCTTTTCCCATCTAGTCTGCTCCTGTTGGAAGCCCTTTGGAGCCCCCTCTGTGATTAGAAACACTGTTTGCCTTTGTAACCTAAAGCTTTTGTGGTCAGTCTGTTCCCTTCTATTCTCATGCCAGCATTGTCCTCTAGCCGAAATAGCGCTTTCCCTATCTTCTGCTCCCCCCCCTCCCCAGCTTTACTTGCAGAGCACAATGCTCTCCTCCCGGGCAGCGCCGCCGGGGGTGCGGGCAGTGCCTATAGGCAGAGGTACAGATGGGTGATGTGCTTCAAGGAGGCGTGGATGCATGCGCTTGTCTTTGCCGGCGCTGGGGGAGGAATGGTTGGGATCAGAACTAACTCTTCTCCCTTCTCTTCCTCCTGTACAATTAGTCTGCTTGGCTCAGGAAAGATGGAGGAGAACAAAGAAAACGACCTTCAGCCTCCGTTACCTCAATCATACGCAGCAACTGTAGCCAGACAAAGTACAGTGCCTTCAACTTCGACCATGCCAGGTAAGCACCACACCTGCCCCTCCTCAGGGCACGAAGCAAGAGAGCCACCTGGGGAAAAGCCAAAAAGTCTCCCAACTTCCAAGGGTTCAACCCGGAACACCACTTGTGCAAAGCAGGCTGGGGCAACAGGACTCTGGAGCTCACCTAGTTCGTCCCCTGCCCCCAAAGCAGACTGGGGCAACAGGACTCTGGAGCTCACCTAGTTCGTCCCCTGCCCCCAAAGCAGACTGGGGCAACAGGACTCTCGAGCTTACCTAGTTCGTCCCCTGCCCCCAAAGCAGGCTGGGGCAACAGGACTCTCGAGCTCACCTGGTTCATCCCCCGCCCCCAAAGCAGGCTGGAGTAACAGGACTCTCGAGCTCACCTAGTTCATCCCCTGCCCCCAAAGCAGGCTGGGGCAACAGGACTCTCGAGCTCACCTAGTTCATCCCCTGCCCCCAAAACAGGCCAGACATTTTCTGCTCTGCTTCCCGGGACCCCTTGCCAGTGCTTCTCCTCCTCGCACAGAGCTGCACCGCAAACGGGCTCACCAGCAGAGCAGTAACCACATCCGAGCGTCACAGTTTGCCAGGCAGCAGCTGCTGCCAGGCTGCTTCCCAGGGGTTGAAACCGTGGGTGTAGAAGTCAGATCTCACTATTTTTGTGGCAAGATTGCTACGGATTCTCCCAAACCTGTTAGACCTTACCCTAACAAAACTAGCACTAAATTGTTGTGGGAGAAGGCTGGGTGACTATCTCATTATATTCCCGAGTCTAAAGGTCCACGTACAGATGTGGATCTTATTCTGAAATTGGTGCTTACATTCAGGATGGGAGGAGGAAAGCTGCTGCCACAGGAGCCATGTAGTCCATTCCCTAATCTCTGTCAATGGAGATAGATACCTTTCTCTTCCACAGTCCCCCAGAGCTCTGCCAAAAAGCCAGAGAAAGCAGCCCTCATGCCAAAAAGGTGATAAAATAGTGAGTCCAGTGTTTGTTTCCAGCCTCCTTCCATCCAATTATCCGTAATGTTTTGTATTTTTACTTGGACAGGTTATTCGGAGGACGGTGGTGCCCTGCGAGGCGAGGTTATCCCAGAGCATGAGTTTGCAACTGGACCAGTGTGTCTTGATGACGAGAATGAGTTTCCTCCTGTGAGCATTCGGGACCCCTAAAACTGCAATTCAGCCCTCATGCTAAGAAGAAAGTATTAACCTATTACAGAAGAGATACTGTCACCCCCACCTTGTCCCAGCTCACTGTGAAGCCTAAAATAACTAATTAAGTTATAGGGACAGTGCCAGGAAAAGTACCCCCCCCCCCCAAATGGCAGCTAGGGATGGGGCAAAGATGATCAAACCTAATAACTAGAGATGGATCTGAACGAAGTAGTTGAATGAAGTGCAGCTGCAGAACAATGTTCAGATCCAGATCTGACCTTTGTGCCTTGTGCAGGTTTCTAGTTTTGCCAGGAATAGCTTTAATTTGAGCAATACCATCATTTAGAAATAAAACCTTAATACTCCCTGTTGCATTTACAGTCAGTTGTGTTAGTTTACGGAATGCAACTGGGCCATACCTGAACCTCACCAGTCTCTTCATTTCCAAGCTAACTGAAAAGGAATTTCCTTTTCCAAGTACAACGGTGAGAGGCGTGACAGAGTTTTAAACCGTTTTATGATTTTTATATGGCACTTTCTCAGTTACCTTTGGAAGATACTGGCTTTTTAAAATCTAACTTAAGCCTGGCAGTGTCTCCCCAGCCCCTTTTCCTATTGCACATGCATTTGTTACGTTAAGTGTCCAACTCCTAAACGGACGGATGTTGGTACCGTGCTGTGACCTGGTTGTAATCAGCGGTGTCTTCCTAATAGTAATGCATTAATCCAGCAGAATATTGTAATGGATTTCAAGTTGTAGACTTGGCAGGCTTTTGAATCCCTTACTCTGTTTTTACATATCCTGCTGTTGGAGTTTTGCCTGAAAAGGAGGAAGTAAAAACTTTATCGGGATCCCAGGATTTGTTCCGTGTGCTGAGGCTGACCTCTGTGAGGCACTTTCCGATTAACTGATGCAAAGTGTTATTTAGATAAAAGGTGCCCAGCTCATGGCTCCCTGCGAAACAACACTGCCTAAATCCAACTTGCGTAAACCTCAGACCGATTCTCCGTTGTCACCTGTAACATAACCTGCTGCAAACTGAGCACAAGAGTCTGCTAGTTGTCCTACTCCCTTACCCAAGAGCGAGATTTAAAATGTCCCTCCTCTGGTCCAAGTGGTGCGGCCACGGAGAAGCTGGTGGCCCAGGCACCTGGAAGGAGCAGCAGGGCCAGGGGGAAATCCTTTGCTTCCTTCTGATGAACCTGCCCTTGAACACGTGCTCTGGGGGCAAGCACACGCCAGCGAGCAGGAATCACGCTGCTCCCAAACGAGCCTTCCTGCTGGGACCGTGCCGTATCAAAGCAGCCCCAAACCCCTGCTCTACAGCAGCAGGTGCTTTATTCAATGGCCTTGGATCGGTCAAAATCCGGTGCTGTAATTAACCTGAGAGAGCAGCTTCCGTGTGTAACGTTAGGGAGGAGGGGGTGTGGGAGGGAAGGCGCTTCCCAGAAATACCCCCTGGTACGGTGGCTTAGCAATCGGAGCTTCCCGATAGCGTCTCTGCAGCTTCGCTTTCGCCCCTCTGCTGCTGAGGGGAACGTGTTCTGCATCTGGTCTGCCAGCTGGTGCGGCGCTGGCTCCCACCGCCTGGGTGCATGAGAGGAGTTGGTCGGGATGTTTTGGTGCTCTGAATTTCACTGAACTTCGCTGTTTTCTCAGCGCTGAGATGTTCGGTCTCGGTGACGCGTTCAAGGGGGGTTTCAGGCATCGGTCACTTCTGTGCGGAGAAGGAGGGAGAGAAAACCTGACCTTATCCAACAAAAATGTTTTGACAGCGTTCTGCTTTGCGGAAACATGGGAAGGGTTTTGTTTGTTTTCCAGTGTGCAACAAAAAGCCATTTAAAAACCTCAAAACTTGTGACAAAACGGAATATTCACCCGCAGCCCACGCCATGAGTATGGCTTTGAACTCAGACGTACTTTTGGAGGAAAAGCAGTGCTCAGACCCAGCAGCTCCTCTCCATTTTGAAAGATCTTGCCTTCCTCTGACCTCAAGCAAGACTTCAGCTGTTAGGAGCTAGGAAAAGCAGCTTCAGCCTAACGTAGAATCTGTTGCTGATTGTCAAAACCTGCCTCTTCATGAAACGGAAGGAGGGACAGATCGGAGAAGAGATGAGAAGCCCAAGGAGGGCTCGTAAAAAAGTGGCCTCAACAAGAGGGAACGTGGATGGTGCTCCTGACGGTGCCAGGGCTGCCGGAGGATCCTGCGGCGAGAGGTGGAACGCGTTCCGTTACGTCTCTGGCTTGCAGTGATGGGGTGGATGAAGCGCTTTTGGGGTGGATGAAGCGCTTTCGGGTCGGCTGTTGATCTCCCACAGAAAGGGCTCAGGTGTCACCGAGAGGGATGGCAGGCTAAAGCCTCGGCTGAGGCGAAGGTGCCGTGCTCGAGGCGCTGGCGGGGAGGAGGCTGCCCTTGCTCTGCGCGGTCAGGTGGCTTTGCGGGATGGCAAGAGCAAACCCAGCTCCGGCTGTGATGGTTGCGGCGATTGCGGCTGTTTTTTGGTTACCTGCCTGAGCAGCTGCCACCTTTCTGCGGGTTTATCGGTGTTGGTGAGGTTTCCAGCGGTGTCGGGAGCTGTTGGTGTGTGCTTCGGGCCAGGCAGGGCACTGCTCGGCCAGCTCTGCTTTCGGGAGCTGCCGTAGCGGCTCTCCCCACCGAGGCATGGTCAGAACAGTTTTTGAGTAGTGCTGTGAGGTTTGAGAACAGAAAGCCTACAGGATTCAGCAAGGAAGATGGCCTGTGTGGGCCTGAGGGTTGCACACCAGGGGATCTCTCTTAAAACTTCCGTAGGAAAGGTGATTTCTTCCAGCAGATTGCTTGGTGCTTTTCCAGGCATATCTGATCCATCCTGCATTTGCTGCACGGTGCTTTTCCGGGCATATCTGATCCATCCTGCATTTGCTGCACGGTGCTTTTCCGGGCATACATGATCCATCCTGCATTTGCTGCATGGTGCTTTTCCGGGCATATCTGATCCATCCTGCATTTGCTGCACGGTGCTTTTCCGGGCATACATGATCCATCCTGCATTTGCTGCATGGTGCTTTTCCGGGCATACCTGATCCATCCTGCATTTGCTGCATGGTGCTTTTCCAGGCATACCTGATCCATCCTGCATTTGCTGCATGGTGCTTTTCCGGGCATATCTGATCCATCCTGCATTTGCTGCACGGTGCTTTTCCGGGCATACGTGATCCATCCTGCATTTGCTGCACGGTGCTTTTCCGGGCATACATGATCCATCCTGCATTTGCTGCACGCTGAAGCTTGTCAGCTTCAGGACCAGAGTCGATGTGAAGGCTTTACTGGGAGAGCTGTTTCATTAAGCCAGCCTAGATTGCCTACAGCGATCAGACTTCAGAGACAGCTTCCCCTCACTGATCTGGTCTTAAACCCCCACCTCTCCCGCATGATTTTTAGCTACCTCCAAACCGGCATGGGCAGCCTGCCCGTGCTGCCAAAGGATGCTGCTGCCCGGGGCGCTCCTCGCTGCAGCTTCTGGGAAGGACAAGCGGGAGCAGGAGCTCCAGCAGCCCGGGCACCGTGGCCGCCCTCGGCAGCACAACGTCCCCACCCCAGAGTGCTGCTGTCTGCACGGGGGAGAAATCAGCGCCCCAGCGGGGGCTCCGCGTGCATCCCCGCTGCTCCAAACCACAGATCTGAATACAACTGCCAGGTTGCAGAGGCACCTTCGGCGCTGCGGGACCGATATTTGCCCAAGTTCCTCCTCCCTGTTTGGTGTTTCACTCATTCTGTTGTGCGGATATGTGACACTAATGATTTTAAGTGATTTTTTTTTTTTTTTAACAGCTGGCTGCAAGCAGAGGAAAGGCGATAGATTTTGCTGTAGATCTCTCCTAATAATCATCTTTCACAGGGGATGAGCAAGTTTGGCAGAACCTGACTGGCCTCTTCTTCCTCACGGCAGCTCTTGCCCCGGTAGCTCAGACAGGCATTTTGGGCAGCTGAAGCTTGCAGGATTAAGCCCAGCTTATCAGTACATTATCTGAGTTCCCTTGGGAAACACGCAATCCAGTGCCAATGCTCGTGCCTCACAACTGGGCAAGTGATGGTCCCGAAGCCCATGGAGAGACAGATCCTGGGAGGAGGAGCTAGCACAGCCCCTCCTGCAGCTGGGGCTGCGGGGATCGCATCTGCACCGCTGGGTCAGGTCTGGCAAGGCTGGAGCAGGCAAAGGCAGCCCTGCACCTTGGCTCATGGCTAGCATCCACAGCTCAGCCCAAGCCTCACCCAGATGTAGGTGCACATCTTGCTCCAGGGGCTCCAGCCTCATCCCGTGGCACGAGTAGCTGATGGGAAGTGGTTCAGGATCCTCACTGCCGCCTGTTCCGCCGCGCGCCTGCTCTACTCCTTCCCTCAAGGGTGTTGCTGATGCTTAGGCTAGGCTTCCCCTCACCTAATCCAGCCTAACATGTAGGTGTTGAACTCTGGGCTGCGCCTGGAGACCCTGGAGAGACGCGGTGATGCACGGCACGCGCCTTTCCCCTCTGGCCATGCCGGGAGCTGGACTTTTTAGGAGGACTTAGCCAGGCAAACGGACCTCACGCCCAGTAGCCGAACTCCCGCTGGCGTGGCTGTGCTCAGCCCAAAGCCAGCTAGAGGCAAGACACCCTTATCCCCCAGCCGGCCGGTTCCTGTTCCCAGGACTGGAAATTTGGGGAGGGGGAGAATATAAATAAATAAACCGCTCACAGATCTGCCTTTGAACGGAAAGTAAAACACTGCGGGACATCCCTCCCCCTTCTCCTCCCATGTGCGTAAAACCAACTTGAAACACACCCCGTTGCTGGGAAAAGTAAGGCCATTCTGTTTTGATTTTGGTAGATAATCTTGTGCCGTGGAGGTCAGCCGGGCAAAGCGAAGAGGTCATGATGAGAAGCAAACATCCGTGCTTAGGACAGCTGCTGGGAAGTGCTTTGGAAAAGCCAAGAATTTTGAAGAACAGCTTTGTGACTCCCCAGGATGAGGAGAAAAAAAAAAAAAAAAAATCCAAGGGGGGCCACTGCTTTTTCCTACGTGCCTACCTGGCCCCACTAGCCCCTGGTTTTAATGTGTGTCTGGGTGGGGTGTCAATGTACTGTATGCACATCGCTATATTTAACGAACTATATGTTAGAACCACAATGTAAATGCTAATTTAATCAGATTTGTACGTAACCAGAATTTTATATACCCGTTTGTCCCTTTTCTAATTTATGCTGGTTTATGTGTATAAATGTACTTACAGGAAGGTATATTAAACCTATGTCTTTGTACAGTATAGACATACTATTTTACCCAGGCAAAGTATTTTTGCAGTGATGTTAGAGAAGATGCCGTTTGCTCTGTTGAAAGACAGAATAAAGTCACGGTCTGTCCCTGGCAGCTCGCTGCCCGTGCTCCTGCTGTTCTTTGTGGGGCCCTAAAGATGTCAGTCT